TTTTTTAAAAATATTTAGGATATGGTCTCGGCTTTTCAAATTTACCTAAATGATTTCTGAGTGTATATAGAACTGGAGGCATTGTAGGAAACTGCAAGAGTACTCCCGAAAGACCCCAACAGGAAGACAAAACTCAGTAGTAGAACACACAGATACACACACTCAAAGTACGCTCGGCGGAAACGGAAGCCGGCAAAACAAGAAACGCCGTGCGGCAAAAACAAAGGCCAAAGCAGAAAAGCTACAGCTGCAAAACAAAAACAAAAGCAGAAACTACAGCAACGTTCGCACAAAGCGGCTAAAAACAACAATAAATGCGGCAACAGAAGCTAAAACAAGTAACACTCACACAAAGGCAGTCGGGAAAAACACATTTTAGATATACACACGTCTGGGTAAAATGCAGTCTGACTCTTTATCTGTCATTAGTATTTCATTTTCGAAAAAAAGTATACCAATATATATATACCCTTCGAAAGCTCGTTTAATTAATCGAAAAATCTCTAAGCAGTTTGTCAGGAACAGAAAAGGACAATGAAATAATTAAGTATATTATAAACTTTATCCAGATGTGAACTGTTTTTAAAACCCAACCTCTTGAACAATGGTAATTTTCAATGTTAATTTAATTTTTAATTTATTTTTTATGACAAGCCAGGTCCAGATAAATTGCAAAAACCTTTTAAAACTTAAGTACTTTTCCCCCAAAAATACCGTGCCAATCATTTAAAAGCCAGGGTAATTATTTAGGTTTTATCTTTCGCAAATTATTACCGCACTTAGTGTCCAGCACCGAGAACGCATTCCGATTATTTAGGATCCTCGCCCAGCTTGGCATTTGAGCCCTGAACTTTCCAAATGGGGCCACTATGGTGGAAACATCTCGGCCATTCGGGGCACGTTCATAAACAGGCATTTTATATCCTGCAAGGACAGCTGTTGCCGCTCGTCCGACCATAATGAAAATATTTACAAGACGAAAACTTGTTTCGGCTCTGTGTGTGTGTGTGCAGGACATAAAATTAGCATTTTAATGCAGGCCGGCACACAATTTGAAACAGTTGCAGCCCACTTTCTTCGACCCGGCCCAGAATCTCGCTCTCCTTTTGCCAACTGGCTTATGCCGCTGTAAAATGGCCAACATAAAGTGAACTTTAATGGCGACCAGGTAGGTTGGTTAGCTCACATTTACATGGCCATTGAATGGGTCCTGGACCAGACAGGTCCTCCTCCTTGTCGATTTGTTTTTGGTCATTACTGGCCAAAAAAAAGGGGGCAAAAAAAATATATGTATAAAGGGAAGTTTAAGGCTGCTCGCTCCAGTTTTTAATGGCTTCGACTGGCGAACACTTGGAGTGTCGTTAAGGGGCGTGGGGCGATAAAATCCAGAATGGGGCGTGGCCGGCGCCGGATGCTGGGTTACGGGCTCTTGTCTGGCTGACCATTGCCTGCAATTAAATCCACACCAGTATCCCCCTGCATCGAATATTCCCTCCATCCAGCTGGTGTGTTAATTGAGGTAAATTACGCCATTTTTATACCATGGTCTCCACCCTGCTCTTTTTTCGTCCCGCCTCAAATAGGTTTATTGGGAAATTTATTTGTTTAATTGCATTATTTTTTGTACCCTCGTTGCTGCTGCATAAAAAAAGAGGAAAAGAAAAAATAAGCAAAAAAAAAAGTAGTATGCCATAAAATTGTTTTTATGGCGCACTGGCATAAGCTGGAAATTTATTGCTCTTGTTTGGCAAACAGAGCGGACCTGAACGAAAAGCTTAATGAAATTTGAGAAATTTTTATTTTCAGCCATGGGTAGCCGCGCAAAGAATTTTCCACAATTAAATTGGAATATTTTGCTAGCAGCTTGAATGAAAATTCTAATTTTCACATTGCATTTTGCATGGAAATTCGGTTAGAGTTGCATTACCTGCTTAAATTTCATTGAAAAAATTTGGGTGAAAGATTTTTTTGTAGGTTTTCTTTTCAATTATCAATTTAACGACTAAAATAGGGATTGTACAATTAAATTGGAATATTTTTATAGCATTTCGTATGAAATTTCGAGTAGAGTTACCTTGCCTGCTGTTGAATTTTGTGTAATCGATTTCAGAAATATACATTTCTACCTTTAAGCTGATAGTTAAATATAAATAGAAAACACAGGAACTAAGACAAACCATTTTCCACAAGGATAAGCAAACTGTAAAATAAGAAATAATCCCACTTTAGTTAAGTTTAAGCCAACTCTCAGCCACTCTGCGCAGAATTTATCTGCTATCGTTGCACTAGCAAAGTCTTTTTAGAAAACTAGTTCAGATCCAGGTAATCCCTGCCACAGCTTAGCTCTCGTTTGGGCAGCTTTTCGTTTGGAAAAATCCAATCGGATGTGGAGTATACACCGAAGCCACCGAAGGACAGCCAACGATTGGATGGGCTGCTGTCTCAAGCATTTAAGCCTAATTTGAGGGAGGGTGCTGGGTGCTCAAAGGAGGCCAGGCAGGCAGGTCCTGGCAATTACAGTTAAGGCAATTTTCGCAACGTGTCGCCCTGGCTGCCACCCACTTTTCCCCACACCCTAATCACAACGACCAAGTGCAATCGGCTTTTGTGCCGTTTTTGGTCCTTTTTCAGCCTCTACAGCATCCTGTTGATGGCCTCGTTAGTTGCGACTTAGAACGACCAGCCACAGTACAATCAAATCGACTGGCACACACACACACACACGGCTGCCATAAAAGCGAATGTCCCGGCAAAAAATATAAAATACCAAAAAGGTACTAAAACGAAAAAAGGAGGCCAACCAAATGCCATTTACATTTAAAGCACACTTTACAAACGGCCCACCCCTGGATGGCTTTTGTCTTTTTCGGCCGGGCCCAAAAAATAAATTCGCAAAACTTTTCGCAGCACAAAAACTTTAGCAATTTAATTAAACCGAAGCGACTTAGTGGATCGGGCCAAGGCGCGACACCTTTCAGTCTGAACTTTGGTGTCCTTTATGGCCGGCAAATGCCAGCGAACAATGTTGCCGGCGAACGGGGAAAATAGGGAGCGGAAAATAGGGGGATTTCCCGGGAAAATCAGGAAGAAAAGAGGAAGGTAAAAGGACATGCAACTGGTTGCACTCTTGCACTCTTGCACCCGGCAACATTTTATGGACCATTCAAAAGCGCTACAAAAATGAATCACAAGCGATAACAGTTAAGGCGAAAACTTGCAGTTTCCTTGATTACATACAAGTTGGTTTTTCCCGAGGCTAGTTTTTAAAGGAGAAGTCGATTACTCATCCACCTGATAAGCAAAGCGATGGTAAGGAAAATAACGAATATTTTGATACCCTTCATAGCCACTTAAGAACTTTTTTTTTAAATAGATCCTATCTTTGAAATTAAAAAAGCCAATAAGATGTAACCATTTTATATATTTTTACAATTTCTTCATATTTATTTGGAAAGCACACCTTTGATTTTCAGCGACATCCACATACTATTTTAAAGGAAATTAAGAATATTGCTATACCCTTTATAGAATAGAGAATATATATATTTTTTAGAAGTACTATCCTTAGATCTTTTTTTTAGATATTCCTTTTAATAAATTGTAGAATATATTTTTTGAAAGAACACCCCTGATTTTTAGAGACATCCACATAGTGTTTATATTTCCTATATTACAAAGCTCTAGACAAGATGATAGTATGGAAAAGAACGAATATTATACATAGAATATATGTTGTTTGAAAAAGATCCCATCTTTCAATGTATATTTGGGAAATACACCACTGATTTTCAGCTACATTAACATGCTATTCATATTTATCATATTTGCTGTATTTCAAAGCTCTAAGCAAAGTGGAAAAATCAAAAGACACCATGAGATACGTAAATGCTTGGGATTTAAATCTTAACTGACATTAGTGTCAACGCAAAACTGACAGCCAGAGCACTCGGAAGCGTTTAAGTGCACTTGAGTGGATTTTAATGGACTCAAACGGAGAGGCGTTCGGGGTAGTGGGCGTGGCAGCCAGCTGGAATAGCAACACTCTAGACTCTTGTGACTCTAATCAAGCCTTTTGTCTTCGTTTGAGAGCTTAATGAGGAGCAGGAAGCTCTAGCACTCCATCTGTTCCTCAATCATGCTTTGCAGTTGAACCTCTACACAGTGAGAAAATGTCAAAAATAAATATTTTATTATATTAATTTTCCATAGAAATAGAGCATAGAATATTTCTTAGCCGTTTTTCAACTGTTTTTCGTTGAAAACAAATATGTAAATCATTTTTATGAAGCTTATACCTTCACCTAAAGTTTTCTTCCTGTGTATGGATATATATTCTCCTCGAGCCTAGCTTAAATTAAATGCAAAGCTAGGCAGCGTGTACTGTGGCCGCCCATTTCATGGACCATTTAATAACCAAAACATTTGCTAATTAGGCACCGAGTGGCCGCCATCGGCAATTGAAGCGGTGATGCGTGACTTAACCAGTGAGTTACTCTCCGCACCATTATGCGAATCCTATGCAAATAAACAGCCACTCGAGTGCCGGGGAAAACTGGGCTAAAACGGGGGCAACAATGAATGGCAAACTTGTAAATAGGCCAGGATTTCTTGTTACAAATGCTCCATTCAACAACAAAACTGAACTCGACTCGACTCGCACTTCTATGGCCTACTTCATTAATATTTATACAAAGCGAGAGAAGTTTCCAAGTACCCGGGCAAATGGTTTTTGCCTTTGAATCCGTAATGTTCGAAATGAGGCGGAGGGGAAAAACCTCACCTAGGAATCGTTTTCAACGTAATTGAACTATGTATAAATGCGCTGAGTTGCTTGTTTATTTGGTTATTATACGACAGTGCTCACAAAAAACGAGGCAAATAAAATGCCGAATTGCAAATCAAATAAATAAATCAGTTGCAAGTTAAGCCAGTGTTTGCATTGCATTTAAATGTGGAAACTGATTTTCATTATTCCATATATCCTTTTCATCTATTTTCAGAATCGTTTAAACATTGCGGTCAAATGAATCTATATGGAATTTTCAATGTTCGGCTGGTAAGTTGACAATAAACAACCACAAAATATCAAATGCAGAGAAAGGCTTTTTGTGCTGCTTAACCCGCAAAATACAAAGGGCATTGAGAAGCCCTTTCAACTTGACTGCACATGCCTCCGGACTGAAATTGATATTTTTGCCAAGGGGAAATGGAAATGTAATTAAAGCCAGCTTATCAGAAACGTTTCCTTTTGCCCTGACTTTCATCAGCAGTTTGAAGCTTGCAATTCGCCCAGGACCGTGTCATTGAAATAAACAAACTTGCGATTCAACCAACCAGAAAATTAATTTGCAAATTCGGGAAAAGATATCACTTTGCTAGGATCAATGAAGCAGAATTAATATTCTTCCTGCGCTTGTGTAGTATGTATTATTATTTAAATAAAATCAACACCACTAGCTCTTAAAAAGTCCCTTTGGTGAAGGAGTAACCTTTTCAATTAGTCTCAAAAAATTGCATAAACAAGACTCCCCATTTTTTTGCCTATACACTGTGCAAAGTTACTTACTCCTGAACCTCGGCATGTCCTGGCTGGAAGAAAGGAATCTCAATCAGAGGGCACTCCCTTTGAACTCTCACCACCTGTGTTTCTGCGCCAAAAATGAAGTTAAAGCTCTTTTTATGGGGCCAACGTGAGGTTGTTTTTGTGGATGTTGCTCTGTTATCCTTTGGATAGAAAGTTTGTCTCCGGTTTGTTGACGCAGCGCATCCTTTCGCCGTTCCTCCGGTTGTTTTATTTGCCGTACATCTTTGTTGACTGAGTGCAAGAGTGTAACTAACGTGAACGTTGGCCGCGCGAGGAATTTAATTTGGCTGCAAATTGCTGACAGGAAACATTGTTGGCCCGGAAAATTTGTTTACATTTTGAGCAGTTTTTAAATTAATTCGTAAGCTTTCAAGAGCTAAAATATTTACTTTTGCAGCAATTTAAGAAGGACTTGCCCTGCGAATTGTGAACAATAGTCGGAAGGCATGCATATGCCACACAGCATCCTTTATTCTAATCCGCATGGCCAGTTTGGCTTCTTTCATACATTTGCATGGCTGTTTATTCAAGGATTTTGCTGGGCCAACTCCTTTCGCTTCTGTGACCGTAAAAAGGACATTCACATATGCATATATGCATGAGAAATTTGGCAAAAACTTTGCAACTTACCATGAGAAAAAAACGCAAGTAACGAAACAAGTCAAATAAGAGATCATCAGATTATGTACAAACGAAGAGCTCACAGGCAGCTGGCCTTAATTGTATTAGAAAACGCACACAAAATGCCAAATGCAAATGGCAATATTTTACAAGTTTGAAAGGAAGCTGGGGCCAGTTACAATTTCAGTCTAATCCTTTGACTTGCACACATCCTCAGGAAAAAGTGGTCATGCATATGGCATAAAAAACAAGGCAGCACACATGCATTTATTTATTTGAATGCCCAAACAAAAACCAAAATTTTTCACTGGCCCACAAAACCGAAGACAGCAAATACTGAATAAGCCAAAATGATGGACGTACTGGCTCAAGTAAAAGATACATTGGCCAGATACAACTGACATTGGCGTATGCTTGGATTTCCTGTTACTCGGTTTTTGCTATTTGCATACAAAACATTTGACTTTTGTTCCAGATGACAAATAAAATAAACGATATACACATGTATGGCCATCTGTGGGTTTGATTGGCCTGTTCCATCCGACAGATACAGATACAGATACAGATACTGAAATACGTAGTTCCCTACGTGACGGCGACACGAGCAATTAGTGTTGGCCTGTCCACAGACCGCCTGCTGATATCCCAGGAATCCAAGAAACCAGGCATCCTTGCTCCTGGCAAATTAAAGACTTAAAGCCCCTGTAAATCCCCCTTCTACACGGCGTTTGTTTGTAACTCAAAGCAGGCATTGAATTCAACACCTTTTATGAAGAGCCCGGCGCATGCACATGCATACAAAATTCAAAGGACGAGGAGCAGTTCTGCCTCTGCCATTGTGGCTGTGTGCTTGTTATTTGATGACTATTTTAAGGACACTTTGCCGTCGTCGTTTTACCCAAGTGCCAGTGCACAAAGTGCTAAAAAAAAGACCTGAAAAAGATAGTCGCACATAGAGAATAAAATGATAACCATGGTAGAATAAGCCGAGTACGCAAATTTGATGAAAAGCGAACGAAAGTAAGCAGAACACAGGGAAAGATGAAAGCATCATTAGATTGAAATACACTTGAGACAAGATTCTAAAGAAGCAAAACAAACTAAGTGGAGCAAATAAATATTACCTAGCGATTTATAACTTTATACAAATATATTATTATTATATATTAACTGAGTTCAAAAACATATGTAATCCCCTTTATAATAATATTAATTTTGTTGCTACCTCAAATTGTCTTTTACCATTTAAGACCAGTTAAATACACCCACCTTGACTTCAATCAAGGTCCGAAAACCGTTACGTAGAGTACGTCTAATGAAATTTGCCCCGCAGAAGACTCGAAAGACAGTGGCAGACTTCAAAGTGAATGAAAATCTAAAGAAAAACTGATGGGAAAAACGGAACTTCACGGACCAAAGGAAAAGAGAGGGGAAGTTAAAAAGTAAACAACCATTATGCACTCCACATAAACGATGGGGTTCCGTGGTCGGGGGTTTTGGGGTTGGAGGACTACGATGCTATCGAGAGGGTAAATGGCAGTTGGGCAGCATAAACACATTTTACGGGCCCACTCCACCTTCCCCACTCACACACAGCGAGAAAAATAAACAATTTCATAAGATATGCGGAAAAAATGGAAGAAACAACGTTGGAAAATATCTGAATATTTCTGCAGGGACCAAGGGGAAAAGGACAACGGCAGGAGGAAAGCGGAAAATGCAAAACAAACAAAACATTTTCAGATGGTGGCAAAAAAAAGGGAAAATGAAGGCGAGCCAGGCGACGAGACACTTTGCCGCCAACGCAAATATACCCCAAAAAGTGGGTAGGGAAAAAACAGGAAGTGGACTTCGGGAACAGTGATGGCAACTAAAGTTAGCACAATTTATACAGAATTATAAATAGTTAAAATTATATTTTTTCTTAAAATTAAAGGGAATATATTTTTATTAATGTAGGAAAAATAATCTCAATGGTTGTGATTTTATACGAATTCTTTTTTTTACTTATGATAACTTTTAATAGACTTAATATTTTTTTTGAAATATTTTGTATGCATAACAGGACTTTGGTAACAATGTTGGCCACTAAAGTTATCACCAAAAAATCCTGAATTATAAATAGTTCAAAATATATTAATATTAAAATCTTGAGGGAATATTTTTTATTTTAGTGTAGGAAAAATATTATCATTGGCTTTGATTTTAAAGGAATTGTATTTTTTTTAATACCAGTTTAAAAACTAAATATTTTTTAAAATTATTGTTTTAGCATAATATAAGAAATTGGTTTTTGTTTTTAAATGGACATTAAATATTTATAAATAAAATAGACATTTTACATTTTGTGTATTATCAATTATATCAAGAAATGTGCTAAATTTGCACCACTGTCCAGGAAAAGTGAGAAACGGGGCCGAGTGGACGAAAAGGAAGAGAAAAGGAGGAAGAGACCGGAAACTGGGGGTGACAAGCAGAATGGCGACATCGTTGGCCACTCAGCGGCGTTTGACACTTGAAGCAAATGACAATGTGGCCGGCAAGGACAACGTAAGGACAACGCTAAAGAGCACAAACAAGGGCAAAACAAAAAAAAAAGCAAGAAAACAGAAAAAAAGGAGAAGACAAACAGACATAAATATTTCAATTTTTGTTCGAAAAATTTCACTTTTGCATACATATGTGTGTGCCATTTAAGTGCGTGAAGTAAAGATGAAATATTGAAGGGGGCATAAAATTAAATCCATACTCAAACATACAAAGAGGAAGGATGCTGAAGTGGGCCAGTTGGCATAACAAAGTGCTGATAAAGCGAAAAGCTCGCACGCGAATGGGGAAAACATTAAAAAAATGAAGGAGGAAAAACATCTGCGGGTCGGAACAGTCGTAAATATATGGAAACCCTGTGGCCTGTGATGGCCCCTAAATTGTAAAAATAAATGTTAAGCTCGGCACTCGCAAAACAAAAATATATTAGCATATGTAAGAGCAATAATGCTTCGTCTTTTATATTTACTAAGTTAATTGAACATATAAAGGACAAATCATTTTAAATTTTCCAAGCATGTAAGATTTTCTAAAAGTTGAAAATTTAATTCAAAAGAAAGCATTTAGCTATCTTATTTTTTGAATCAAACTGCTGACAGTTTTTATCTTCAAATCTTGTTTATATCTTGTCTATACCTGGTCAGCTATTTTCCTAATCTTCTTGTGGTTACGCCCCTCCTTAAAGCCACGCCCACTCATATGGCATGCAATTGGCAATGCAACTCCAACTCCCCTGTCAATCAAGTGACAGCTACCCAACCATTTGAAAATTTTCTTTCATTTTGTTATCCTGCTGTTGAGAGGAAGGAACCTCCCTGTAAAAACTGCTTATCAATGAATAGTGGAAAACTATAGTAGCTATATCCCAACTTTCCCATAAGCATATGTATATGTAAGGGGAATCCGTGGGGAGATTGGCTGAAAGACATTTGCATGTGTATTTGGTTGTTGGCTGGTTGGGGCTTTTTGTTGTACCATTGACATTTACGCAACATGTCCCTGTTGCATGTTTGCAATTTGCATTTGCAAATAGTTGCCAAAACGAATATCAAATGCGGCTTGACAGAGAGGCAGGATCACAAAGTGCAAGTTGCGGCGCTATAACACTCTGAAAAATATGACATATTTTTTTTAAACATTTTTAACAAAAAATTTGTTGATTTGAGTTATTAGAGGCAGGATCAGGAAGTGCAGGTTGGGGCACTATAAGACTCTGAAAAATATGAGATTTCCTTTTACTTTTAAAATTTGTTGCGGCGCTATAACACTCTGAAGAATATGACATATTTTTAACCTTCAATATTTGCTTTTTAATTTATTGTCTTAAAGTTCTTTAGATACATTTTTGTCGCTGCAGCTATTTAAATTTAA